TGCTGGCGCAGCTCGTGGGCTGGGCCGCCCTCGGCCTCTTCGCGGCGGACCAGGCCGCGGGCCTCTGGGTCGCGGCGAAGTCGTCGAAGCCCCGGAGCCCGCGCCACGCGGTGCTCCTCGAGGCGTGCTCGACGCCCAAGGCGCAGATCGTCGCGCCCGCGCTCGCCCTCGCGGGGCTCCGGTGCGCCTACTTCGCGTTCCCCATGTTCGAGGCGCGGGACCGCGTCGTCTGCGTCGAGCTCGGCGCGGACGTCCGCGCGCTCGCGGTCTACGACGCCGGCGGCCCGCTCCTGCTCTTCGTGCTGTCCGCGATCGCGGCGCGCTGGCTCCAGGTCCTGTCGGGCGAGGCCAAGTGCCGGTCGGCGAGCCTGCACGGCGACACGCTGAAGGCGCTCTGCGCCTGGAACGGCGCCTACGCCGTCGCGGCGGCCGCGTCGACGGCCGCGCTCGTCGCGCTCGCTGGCTCGCGCGGCGACGCGCTCCGCGCCGTCGGCCGCGCGATGCTCGTCTACTTGGCCGCGGCCCACGGGCTCCAGGGGCTCGGCTACGTCGCCATCGGGCGGAGATTCCTCGCGCGGCTCGACGTGAGCGCCAAGGGCAGCGAGCGGGTCCGGGCGCTTCGGGACCGCGTCCGCGCGCAGCTCGTCGTCACGGGCGCGGGGTCCCTCGCGAACGCGGCGCTGCTCCTCGCCGTCGTCGCCGAGGCGGCGCCGACGCCGCGGCGCGCCTTCCTCTGCGTCGCGCTCGGCCAGCGGGCCGTCGAGCTCGCGCTCGCGGCGACGGCCGCGTTTCTGGGCCTGAAGGTCGACGCGAGCTCGGGCCTCTCGGGCGCGGCGCGGCGCGCGCGCGCGTCCGTGCGGCGCCGCGTGTCGGCCGTCGCGAAGGCCGTCCGCCGCTCCACGAAGCCGCTCCGGAAGCCGCCCGCGCCGCCGTCGGCCAAGGTCGTCGAGTTCAACGCCATCTACGCGCGGAGCGCGGGGCGCTTCGCCCGCGAGTCGCCCATCCCGCGCGCGTCGCCGGACCCCCGCGCGTCCGGCCCGGGCCCGAGCCCGCCGCCCTTCGACCTCAGAAACAGTCCGCCCGCGGACGGCGCCGCGTCCGAAGGGCTGCCCGCGGGATGGAATCGGCGA